TGGAATAGCTGAGCAAGATCAGAGCTAGGTCTGTGCAGTCAGGTCAGGGGGATGGCCTACGTCATCTGGATTTGCTGGCCCTTCATGGTGTTGTTCTGCTAAAGGTGCAATCCAGGGTGGCACCTGCTGACCGCACCACTGCCTCACTTTCCCCAGCCAAAGCCCAGATTAGCGCCTCTGTACCACTACAGCCTCAGAAACTTGTGACGTAACTTCTATCTCCCAACACCATTAGTCTAATGTCTGCCAGGCTGCCCATGGCCTGGATGGGCTCAGTTGATTCTTTGAACTTGGGGGCCTCATGCACTCCTGCTCTCTTAGAGACATCTCAGGGTACAAAATATCACCCCCTACTCAGGGTTTTTGGGACCTGAAAAGGTCTGAGAGCAAAGCAGAAATTGTGGGGCTACTGTAAGCCACTGGTTTTCCTGCCTACTGGAGAATCTGCCTGTCTGTAGGGAAGGCCAAGGAAAGAGGACCAAGCAAAGCCACTTTGACCTGTGCCCTGTGTTCATCCCTGGGGTGAGCAGTCACGGGCAGTTTGGGAACCCCCTGACCTAGGGTGAATGTGAATTCCAGCCAACTCTAATATAGGCTGTGTGGACAGATTGGAAATTGGGCCAAGGACTGTGTCACCTGGGCAGGAATCTGAACAAATGGGTGGCCTGAAAAGTATCATTGGGAGATGCAGAAAACAGGGGCCAGTGTGTTAGGCAGGTAATAAATGCAAAGATTCTAGCTCAAGGTAGCAGATAATACCTGTCTTCCCTGTTGTTGCTATATTTCCTTACTGAGGAAATGTCTCTTTTAAAGGCACTAGGAAACATATCTGTAGTCTTTTATAAGTAAGAAACATATGGACTATTTATAATTGGTCCACAAATATTAGGGGCTATGGGAACGGCTTAGGGAGTGATAATGAAAGGAAATCATTACAGTCCCTTTCCTAAGGAATTATGCCTCATCCGTGAACTGCTTCTTACAAAACACTTCTCCCATTTTCCAGGGGAAATAAGTCAGACCTGTAGAGACTTCTATTTTTCCAAACAGTCCAACACCTTCTGTGACTAGCCAACTAGAGAGATCGACCAGGAAACAGGATACAATACAAAAATTATGATATTTCATGCTACTGAAAAACATAAATTGATTCAAAAAGAACTCCAGCTTATCAGTTGGCAGGTTTAAGTAAATGGTGCATATGCATTACCCTGGGTCTGCAGGCCCCTCTTTCCAGTGTGTGCATATGTGGGCCTATCTACGTAGGGAAGCAGAGTATGAGCAGGGGTTGGCTGTACCAGGATAAAAAGTCAGTGCTTCAATTACAAAACTGGTTTTTAATAACCTCAAATTCAGTCATAAAACTTGCAGTCTAGGCCGGCGCCACGGCTCACTAGGCTAATCCTCCGCCTAGCGGCGCCGGCACACCAGGTTCTAGTCCCGGTCGGGGTGCCGGATTCTGTCCCGGTTGCCTCTCTTCCAGGCTAGCTCTCTGCTGTGGCCAGGGAGTGCAGTGGAGGATGGCCCAGGTGCTTGGGCCCTGCACCCCATGGGAGACCAGGAAAAGCACCTGGCTCCTGGCTCCTGCCATCGGATCAGCACGGTGCGCCGGCCGCAGCGTGCCGGCCGCGGCGGCCATTGGAGGGTGAACCAACGGCAAAGGAAGACCTTCCTCTCTGTCTCTCTCTCTCACTGTCCACTCTGCCTGTCAAAAAAAAAAAAAAAAAAACTTGCAGTCTATGGGCTGGTGCCGCGGCTCACTGGGCTAATCCTCCGCCTTGCAGCACCAGCACACCAGGTTCTAGTCCCGGTCAGGGTGCCGGGTTCTGTCCCGGTTGCCCCTCTTCCAGGCCAGCTCTCTGCTGTGGCCAGGGAGTGCAGTGGAGGATGGCCCAAGTGCTTGGACCCTGTACCCCACGGGAGACCAGGATAAGTACCTGGCTTCTGCCATCAGATCAGCGCGGTGCATTGGCTGCAGCGTACTGGCGGCGGCCACCATTGGAGGGTGAACCAACGGCAAAGGAAGACCTTTCTCTCTGTCTCTCTCTCTCTCTCTCACTGCCCACTCTGCCTGTCAAAAAAATTTAAAAAAAAATAAATAAAAAACTTCCAGTCTAAACAAGGGAAATGCATACATATGCACACACTGCTGACAAACCTCCAAAGCTAACTGCTTATTTAGGAGTTCACCACTGCATATAATTAGGCCATTTCTCTGTATCTTGCAAAAATATCTTATTTATATGAAGAAAACTTAATTTTGGCAATCTGCACAAGTGACTTGTATCCTACTACTTTGCTGATTTGAACACTTCTTTAAAAAAAGATTTTATTTATTTGCAAGGCAGAGTTACAAAGAAAGTGAGAATGAAAAACAGGGAGAGATTTTCCAACCACTGGTTCACTCCCCAAATGTCCACAATGGCCAGGGCAGGGCCAGAACAAAGGCAGGAGCCAAAGGCTTCCTCCAGGTCTCCTATGTGGGTGCAGGGACCCATGCACTTGGACCACACTCTGCTGCTTTCCCAAGGCACGTTAGCACAGAGCTGGCTTGGAAGAGGAGCAGCCAGGACCCCAACTGGTGCCCATAAGGGGATATCAGCACTGCAGGTGGTGGCTTATACCACTATGCAGCAGCACTGGCCCCTCATCTGAGCACTTTTTAACCTCTCCTGTTGCCTCCTCAAACTCCCTGCCCCTCATTCCCAGCCCACATCACTGATCCATCCCTCTGTTGCTGCAGCTTTCTCCCCCTTTGGAAGCACTCTTAAAGACAGTCACCCAATTATGTGAGAATTGTCTCTTAATTCAAATGGTTCCATGAAGAGGGAATGAATGGCATCTAATGGAAATACCCAGGCTTTATAATGTACTTTAAATATGTTGTTTCCATGAAACAGACCATAAAGATTCTGATCCATGTTGGCATATAACAAGAGCCAAAAAGCTGCTACTGATTTTGTCTAGTGCCTCCCCTGTCCTTTCCTACAGAAAAACCATTTACTTTCCAAACATTCAAAGTCAAAAGCACCAACACTACCCCTATAACTCTGTGAAGGCTGCTCCAGCACACGAGGAAAGAAAGTGAACAAGGAACACAAACCCAGGTGACTGTCCTCCTCACTTTGCACTTCTGTTTCTGGTTAAAGGTTGGTCACAAGGGAAGATGGATACTGCAGTTGTTCCAGTTACCTCCAATCATAGGCAGCCTGTGTGGGCTGCAGAACACAGAGCACTCCCTAAGAAAGGGACATTTGGAACAGAAGAGGAAAGAATGCTAATTTACATGCACCCAAACTGAAAGTGAAACAAAGAACTTTTCCCACTCCTCTGATCAGAATCTCAAGAACTTCCAGGTCAGAATTCCCCTATACTTTCAGAGGCAGACCCCTTGGATTTTCTTCCATGCAGGTGTATTCCTGTGTGAGGGATGCATCTTCGTGGGGGATGGCACCAGCACACAACACCAACCAGAGAGAACACAGTTATGCTCTTGGCACTCTGAGGAGACTGGATATCCAATTCCATCAGTTCTGACTTGGCTAAAAAGCTTTCTGCTATTCTAGGAATCTGATATAACTTTGGGCTAAAAAGACAGAAACACAGAGAAAAGCTGGTTCTGCTGGCTGAGAAGAAAGGAATTTGATCTCCAGTTGGTGTTGTGTTGAATATTACTCCGAGAGGCTTTCACTTTCCACCTATATCTGCAGAAATAAATGGGCAGAATCAGTCACATCCTAACACAGGGCAACTTTAGCCAGAGGACAGATTATACTAGCCTTGATCACTTACATATCCCTCAAAAAATGACAACCAAAACAATGACAAGCAGGATCAAAAACACACAGAAGTCAACAGAAAGGGAAACAGTGACAGGGGAGCCACAGCCAAAGTGACAGAGTATTGAGAACAATTGTGATGTCCCTCAGCAGCCTTTTGCCTTAAGTAGGAAGTCTCCAGCTTAAGATACAGACATAAAAGACACAGACACTCACGACATATTTCAAAACTGAAGATGAGAGGTTTGCATGGTAGGTTGATCTTATGACGACTTTTATTGAAAAGGTATATTGTATCAGGCAGATGCCTTTAGAACAGCAGAGTTAATCCAATGCCTAATTCAAGGAGACAGCCTGAGGAAGCAGGGCTGCCAGGAGAGCTGCAATGTCTCTATAACTCATCTCAGCATCATAAAGAGAAGAGAAAAAGGGGTTCTCATGTTGGTGGTTAAAAAGAGAATAGGAACACAAAAATTTGAGAAGAGGGGAGAGCAAAGCTCAGATATAGTTTTCTTAGGAAAATAAATTGAGGGACCGGTGCTGTGGCAGAGAGCTGGACTGGAAGAGGAGCAACCAGGACAGAATCCGGTGCCCCGACCAGGACTAGAACCCGGGGTGCCGGCGCCACAGGCGGAGGATTAGCCTAGTGAGCCACGGTGCCGGCCACCCAAAATGTTTTATGGAGAATGATGACAATTTTGTCCTCTGAAAAATCAGCCTGATATGATCAAGGGCTCAGAGTTGTGAAAATAGAAAAACCTGCAGTCTACTGGGTATGATTCGATGGAAAAGCTAGAAAATAGTACAAAGACCAGGCAACATGAGGAGAGCAAAGAAATGAGGGGTGCTGAATTTCTTTATCCCTTCTCCCCCATGAATTACCTAGGAACCTCCACTGCTAATGCAGTGGCACTCACTTTCACTCCAGTGCATGACTGTACCGCTCTTCACTCCACAATCCCGACAATGAGCCAAACACATCTTGGGGAGAATGGCAGCACTGAGGCCAATGTGTCTTTGGCCACCTTTAAAAAAATATTTCCTATAAGAACTATCAATGCCCATTAATGAAACAAGTGAATGTCAGCACTCCACAGATATTGGGACAGACAGTGTTGGCCCTTCCAATGACCAGTGTACACAAATGCCACCAACACGTTGAACATGACAGCTAGGCAGAGCTTACTGGAGGGAAAGGAGGGTTCGAAGTGAAGTACTTACATCTGTAATTCCATCCTCTGAGGCAGATGAGAATTCTTCATCAGAAATGAGGCTAGCATGGCTGGCACTTTGGTGTAGTGGGTAAAGCTGCCACCTGCAGTGCCAACATCGTATATGGGTGCCAGTTTGAGCCTTGGCTTCTCCTCTGCTGATCCAGCTCTCTGCTATGGCCTAGGAAAGCAGCAGAAAATGGCTCATGTACTTAGGCCCCTGTACCTGCATGGGAGACCAGAAGAAGCTTCTGGCTCCTGACTTCAGATCAATCCAACTGTGGCCATTTGGGGAGCGAACCAGTGGACGGAAGATCTTTCTCTCTGTCTCTCCCTCTATCTGTAACTCTACCTCTCAAATAAATAAAATTCTTAAAAAAATGAGGCCAGAGAGCAAGAATCTTCTCCGTGTCGTCACATTAAATGAACAGAGGGAGCTAAACAGCAGCCATGACCCCAAGTCATTTCCCTGGCCATTGCCCCTGAGAAGTGCCCACGTGTCATGGCTGCTCTTAAGTGGAAAGGCTGGCATAAAAGTTACCTGACGGCTCTCCTGGTCCTCAGTGGAAGATAAGGGATGGAGAGGTCTCTCGCTGCCTCTAGGATGCAGCATACTGACTGCAGTGCGATATAAATTTCAGAGAGCAAACTGAAGGCAGAGGTGTAGCAAGAAAGGCAGGAAACCACAATTGCCAAAAGTACACGGCACCCCACCTTGCTGATGGCATACAGAAGGAAAGGCATAGGAGTCACTGGTGAATGGAGTACACACACCCTGTCTACCAAGATAGAGACACCAAAGGCTCATGGCTGCTGCCAAGGGCTGGAAGCACCAGAGCTGAGCTTGGCCACGGGTGCCAAAGCCATCAGGGCTGGGGATGCTAAGGGTTGGGAAGATAGGGCAAGCTGTCCATCTGGAAAATACCCAGTGTAAGCCCACCACAGTCTTTTTCGTTTCTTTTTTTTTTTTTAAGATTTATTTTATTTATTTGACAGGCAGAGTTACAGAGAGAGGTAGAGACAGAGAAAGAGGTCTTCCATTTGCTGGTTCACTCCCTAGAGAGCAGCAATGGCCGGAGCTGCACCGATCTGAAGCCAGGAGCTTCTTCTGGGTCTCCCACGTAGGTGCAGGGGCCCAAGGACTTGGGCCATCTTCTACTGCTTTCCCAGGACGCAGCAGAGAGCTGGATCAGAAGAAGAGAAGCCGGGACTAGAACCGGCGCCCACATGGGATGCCGGCGCTTCAGGCCAGGGCATCAACCCACTGAGCCACAGTGCTGGCCTCCACCACAGTCTTTTTCAATGACCAGTGTCACATAAGCAGCAGTCATCCGAGGGAGACAGGCTGAGTGGCACCTTGGATCAAGGCAGTGAATATTCCTGGGGAGTCATCCCTTTTGCAAAGCAGCAGATACAGCAAAGGGAAAAGTGGAGGGGAGGGGGAAAAGAAAGGGGAACTGAAGTGACTGTGATGCCATCTTTCTGGCTTACAGTTGCTCAGACAAGAAACAGCACAGGCTTTAGGAGCCAGTGGGCAGCAGCAGAAGGCCATCCTCACTTAGGAAAATCAATTTATTGTGATCTACACAGGGCTGACTTGGGATGGTACACGCTCCAGGAGGAATGTGCCTGAGCCAAGCAAAGAAAAAGAAATTACATAACCATCAAATTCCCTGGGAAATGGGCTTTGCAAGGCCAAGCCACCAAGAATAGGTAGGGGGTGAGGGGTCTTTATTTTTCAAAGAAGTACCACTCGTGGCAGGCCTGATATTCAGAGAGCAGCTGTGAAATGCTCCCACATATGCATCCTCTCATCTCCCCCAACAAGGCCCCACATCATGAACATGCAGACAGGGAGCATCTGTGTGTGTGAGTCGGCACAAATTGTACTCATGGATACCACACACACTGGCACAGACATAAACATTCATCTGCATATGCCATCTGAAACCATTTTCAGAAACAAGTTCTATGTGACCCAATAGCGGTAACATTAGTTTTGATGCATAGACCTCTCTCAACACACAGGATTCCCGTTTCTCTATTCTGAGGAGGAATAAAGACTTTTCAACAAAATTCCTGGAATATCTGACATTGAAAGACATAATGGGTGTCTTCAGCATGTGTTCTCTGGAAATGCCTGTCTTCCAGATGATTGGTACTTGCAGTTACTAACTCACTCACTCTTACAAAGATCTGTAATCTGCCTTCAGTTTGCTAGTAATATTTTGCAGAGGTGGGTACCATTATTTTTGTCAAGGGCCATTTGAATATTTAAAACATCACTCATCAACCATAAAAAATGGTCAACTTAAAAGACCACTTGATCTGGACTTATTGAATATTGAGTCTTGCCTCTGATTGCTTTGGTAGGGCCAGACCAAATTGATTTCATGTACCTTATATGGCACATAGGCTATATATTCCCCATCATTTATTTAGAACAAAATTCAATAAAATCTCTGACTTCTTTTGCTCTGCATATTGTCCTAGCATGAATATCCAGTAAAGGTCCCTGGAACCAATTGGAATTAGAAATAAGCCTCTTGGGGCCGGCGCTGTGGCATAGAAGGTAAAGCTGCTACCAGCAGTACCAGCATCCCATACGGGCGCTGGTTCAAGTCCCAGCTGCTCCACTTCTGATCCAGCTCTCTGCTATGGCCTGGGAAAGCAGTAGAAGATGGCCCAAGTCCTTGGGCACCTGTACCCACATGGGAGACCAAAGAAGCTCCAGGCTCCTGGCTTCAGATCAGTGCAGCTCTAGCTGTTGCGACCAACTGGGGAGTGAACCAGCAGATGGAAGACCTCTCTCGCTCTCTCTCTCTCTCTCTCTCTCTCTGCCTCTCCTTCTCCCTCTGTATAACTCTGATTTTCAAATAAATAAATCTTTAAAACAAATAAGCTTGTTTCCATCTCGTGTGTAAATTTAGATTGTACACTTTCATAGCCACTGATTCAGTTTCAAAATGTCTATTGAGGGACTGACATTGTAGTACAGCAGATTAAGTTGCTGCCTGCAATGCCAGCAACACATATTAGCACCAGTTTGAGACCTGGTTATACTACTTCCAACCAAGCTCATTGATAATTTACCTGGGAAAGCAGCAGAAAATGACCAAGTAGTTGTGTCCCTGCAACCCATTTGGGAAAGCTGGATGATGTTCTGGGCTCCTGCCTTTGGCCTGGTCTAGCCCCAGCAATTGTGACTATTTGAGGAACAAACCAGCAGACCGATGATCTTCCTCTCCATTACTCTACCTTTCAAATAAGTAAAACACATCTTTACCAAAAAAAGTATATTGAGTGACAGGAGAAATGTTATTTATCACAAGCCAGGATAACATAAGATAAATACTAGGCTCAATAACTTAAAAATATACATTCAATAAAAACTTAATGAACCTCAAAGTATAAAAAACAATCACCATCTGCTACAAAGTATACTCTTCACATGGACAGTCATATCAGTAAACACCGTACCCCCTCCTTTAAAAAACTACACAATGGGCCTGCAGCGCCTGTACCCCAGGTTCTAGTCCTGGTTGGGGTGCCGGATTCTGTCCCGGTTGCTCCTCTTCCAGTCCAGCTCTCTGCTGTGGCCCGGGAGTGCAGTGGAGGATGGCCCAAGTGCTTGGGCCCTGCACCCACATGGGAGACCAAGAGAAGGCACCTGGCTCCTGGCTTTGGATCAGCACAGCATGCTGTAGCGGCCATTTAGGGGGTGAACCAACGGCAAAGGAAGACCTTTCTCTTTGTCTCTCTCACTAACTCTGCCTGTCAAAAAAAAAAAAAAAAAAAAAAAAAAAAAAACTACACAATGAAGTAAGTATTTTAGTTATTCCCCCACAGAAAACTTAGTACCTCAGTTAAACTGTAGATGAATCCTCTTGGCTTAATGCAGTTCAAAGGAAGGACTTCCTTCTCCCATCCTGTAATATTACCAGATCATGTGTATCATATTTCTAAAAAAAGAAAAAAAAAAATTCTCTCTTCCAATTTTTAAGTAACTTGCCTGCAAACTTATAGCAGTACAGGGAAAGACAGCCAGTTAGCCTATCAAGTATGGGAATACTGTTTTTTGGCTGTTTCCCAGTCAGATAAATGGTCACACTACATGGTTGCTCAGAAAATGGGCTAATAGCTGTCTTCGGGGTGTGAAGCAGCTCTTAACAGAAGAAATCTGTAACTACTTGTCTACTACAAGCACTATGATAGGAGGCATGCCAGAGCAGAGGATAAAAATTAACATACTGGGGTTGAGAGGAGGAACACTGCCACCCTATCACCCGCTACTACCTAAGATTCACTTTCTATTTTTACTTCCTAGATGACCTCACTATGGTAAATGAGTAACCTGGTGACAGCACCAGGCACCCTAAAAGAACACGTGAATCAATAAAACCTGGTTATTCGTGTGTTAACTTCACCATACTCAAAGCCAGCAATATTTTTTGGCCACATCTTTTACTCACTGAATGAGCATCTGGGGTGGAGGGATCACCTTTTTTTCCCCTTTTCTTTCTCACCCTCACTCTCAGTAAGAACTTGTGTAGAGGCTTCTACAGATCACAATCATTCTGCAAAAATGAAGTTCACATGCTCCAGTGTCAACTATGTCATGAGCTTAAATATAGAACTAAAATAATATGAAAAGAACTGGCCCTCTTAATTAAGATAACCAGTTGGGTGGAGCAGTTAGAACCAGCAAAGGCAAAGTGTTAGTTTTCTGCCTGTATGATTTTGTAGTTCAGCACTTCATGCAAATCCAGGTGAAAATTATTCCAATTATTGTCCTAAGCAGTACACTTGCATTCACTTCACTTCTCCCTTCTTTGCAAAGGGATCAGGAGCAAGTAGTAACAGTTGACAACTCTGCTAAAAGGAAAAGAAAGAAGGGGTGATGAGAGAAATTGAAAAGCAGCCAAATAAATCATCAGCTACCTTACCCCAGCCTCAGAACAACTCCAGATTGCAAAAAGTCTCTGTGAACTAAACACAGAGGAGGGAATAATTTGCAAAGCCACTGCACACCCTGCGTGCTGCTGCCACAAGAGCTATCCAGTGTTCCCCATGTGCCATTGGTGTGTGGGGAGGGCGGGGTAGATCCTCATCTGATCCTCCTTCCCCCTCCTGCCTGCCACCTCAGGCCTCTCTCTACTGAGGGCCATGGGTGGGGGGGGGGTGCTGCTTTCCATGGTCCCAGGACTTATTGCTCAGTATAGAAACAGACAAGTTTGGGAGAGAGTACAAGAGTGAAAGCAATTTTATTTGTAATTAGAGCCCATGTGGGGCTGGCGCTGTGGTGCAATGGGTTAACACCCTGGCCTGAAGTGCCAGCATCCGCTGTGGGCGCTGGTTCGAGACCTGGCTGCTCTACTTCCGATCCAGCTCTGTGCCATGGCCTGGGAAAGCAGTAGAAGATGGCCCAAGTCCTTGGACCCCTGCACCCACGAGGGAGACTGAAGAAGCTCCTGGCTCCTGGCTTCGGATCCGCCCAGCTCCAGCCATTGTGGCCAATTGGGGAGTGACCCATCAGATGGAAGACCTCTCTCTCTCTCTCTCTGCATCTCCTCTCTCTGTGTAACTCTGAGTTCGAATAAATAAGTAAATCTTCAAGAAAAAAAAAGAGCCCCCATAAAGGGGAGGAGACCCAGCTCTGGGAATCCTTATTCTTTCTCTGTCTGCCCTTATCTGTGACATACTGGCCCCTCACCTCCTACATGCTATAGGCATGTATTTGGATTGGCTGCCTCGCCAGTATCCATCAACGCAGTGAGGGGTCCATTACTGGTTCCCCTCACCTCTCTGTGCAGAAGCATCAGTAGTTGGTTATTATTTCCCATATCCTTAACTCAAGTGCCATATCGCCCCTCTTCCTCCCTTGGGTCTATTCTAAATCGTTCTCCTACATTTTTCCCCCCAGAGGGGTGGAATTTTTCCAAAGTCCTCTCTTTTCACGCCAACTCTGCCTCAGGCGCCGTCTTTGGCTACACACCCAGCCCCGTCCGGGGACGCTGCGGGTTACACCATGCAGTTTGGCCAGAAGGGATGCACCTGACCAGCCCAAAGTGGGATCGGGCTTACTAAAACATGATGGACGGGACCCCACTCACCTTTCTCCTTCGCTGTCCACTCGCCTGCCTGCCCCTCCAGTTCCCATGTGACATTTTCCGCCTGGTACTCCCCAAATAAAACGCATTAAGGAAAGTTTGAGTGAGGCAGCGCTCAGGGCCGGGTGCGCACTGGAAGGCGGCGATGGGAAACGCTGACAGCCTTGGGGGCGGATGCACCCGGATCACTAGAAAGCGCGCCCAAAAAGTGAGCTGATCCCCAAGCCGCCAGCCACCCTCGTATCCACACCGTTCCCAGACACAGGCACCCACGCCCCTTCGGGGTCTCTCTACTTGCAGTGGAAATTCCCTGGGGGCTGGGCCGCTCCCTTCAGGACACGCCGAGGGCCAGGCGGAGAGTGCGGGGCAGAAAAAGTCCGTGGTCCGGGGGACCAGTGGCGGCAGAGGCGGCAGCAGCCGAAGCCTGGGGGATGAGGGTGGGGCAGGCCGGGTCTGCGCTTGCAACCTGCCTTGGATTGCAGGTGCCGCGCAAGACGCCGGTAACTGCGGGGGAGAGAGCCGCGCTGCCTCCCAGCCCGGGCTCTGAAGAATGCACCTCCACCAGCACGCCCACGCACGCACGCGCTTTCCTACGCTCCCGCACACAGGCACTCGGAGCCCGAGTACGTTAGGAAAGCTAGGAATTCTGGGAAATGAAGTCCTGACCCGGGGCGTGCCTAGGGAACAAACCTGCTGGCCCTGCCTGAGGGCTTCAAAGCCTCTGATGGGCGCGAGGACAGAAGGAAAATTCTATGCTTTTGCTTACAAGCCACCTCCCCTTCCCACCACTGAAAACACAATCTCAAGGAGCAGTTGGTGCTCTTCCGTTCTTGAACCAACACATAAGAGGGACACCCACTCCTGCTAACTAACCCCCAAATCCTGGCTGCTTCCTAAACTCTGCCTTCTTCCAGAAAAAAATCTTACCTGCTGCTTTGTTACCTGCTGGAAGCCCTCTTGGGGTTTTTACTTATAAGAATGAAAAATAAATGAAAGTGGGACCGAGGCGGTGGCATAGTGGATTAAGCATCTGCCTCCAGTTCAAGTCCCTGCTGCTCCTCATCTGATCCAGCTCTCTGCTACAGCCTGGGAAAACAATATAAGATGGCCAAGTGCTTGGGCCCCTGCACCTGCGAGAGAGCCCCAGCAAAACTCCTGGCTCCTGGCTTCAGGTCAGCCAAGCTCCAGCCATTTGGGGAATGAACTGGCAGATGGAAGGTCTCTCTCTCTCTCTCTCTCTCTCTCTCTCTCTCTCTCTGTAACTCTGCCTCTCAAGTACATAAATAAAATATTTAAATAAATAAATAAATAACTGACTATGAACACAGTATAATAGAGGGCTTCGGAGGGCATAGCTTAGCATTAAGCACATGAAAATTTTTATTGGTGTCTCATTGGTGTTTGCAGTTCTTTTCAAATCATTTTACATCATTCTTCCATTCACCAAGTATAGAAAGATAAACAAAGGAATTGAATAGAAAGCTAACGTTCCTGAGGGGCAAAATTCTATACATCATCTCATTTCATCTTTAGATTAATTCAGGAAAAGATTTCATCTCTAGTTTACAAAGAGGAAACTGTGGTGGAAAGGGTTTTGTTATTTGCTTATGAGGATTTGTTAATAAGTCTAGGAGAAAGGCTAAATGAAAATCAATACTATTTTTCAAAAAATTATTCTTTTGTGGCTCATTTTCTAACATCTGAGATTTCTCATCTGGAAAAAAAAGTGAGAATGCACACATAGATTACAAGTTCTCTAAATAAGGAATAAGACTCAAAATCTCATTGTGGTATTGTACCATTGTCATTTTATCTTATGTTTAATATCAATGTAGTTGCTAAATATTATGCATTCTCGGATATATATGTGCCATTTTTATTTTAGGTTTTTAATTAGAAAATTTACTGGGTGTAATGGAGTTCTACATTTATGACTTCTTCTGTCTCTTATAGTTCATGGCATAAGAGTTGCTTGATTAACAATGTTTAAATCTTTATACATTCACTTCACACTAATATTTTCTGTTATTAGGCAATATTCTTAGGTTAGATTTTTTCCTGAAATATTTTAGCTTCATTAGGGAAAGAATCATGTTTGCTTTATTTGACATTATAAGCTCAACACCTGAGAATCTGTTTCTTAGTTAAGAAATGAACACGGATATAAGAACTGAACAAACCCGATTCTTGACCCTCAAGAGTTCACAATCTATGGTTGTGAGAATTTTGTGAATCAGATCTGGATTGGTCTCTAAGAGTCGAAGAACAATGAGGCTGGATACAATGGTGAGAAGAGAAGAGCTTTATTAGACAGTACAAAAAGCTGCCACTAGTGGCAGAGGCTGATGGAAAAGGACCAAGCTGAGGGGAACTCAAAGGCAGGAGGTATTTATAATTCTCATATTGGTTGGTTTCCACAGTAAGATGGGACTGAGGCTTATGGGTCCCCACTGTGATGGCTGTTGTTGGTGGGCAGGAGACCTATTATCAGAGTTGCTGAAAGAACTTCCCTATTTTATTCAGGACATTGCTGGTTAGGCCAAGTGAAATGGGCTGGGCCCCTCAGGGCTGAGCACAATATCATATTTTAACAGCCTGTGAGTATTCGTGCAGACAAGAGATGGTGATCTGATCTTATGATGGGGTTAATCTGGTCCTTTTTCCCTGAAGGTGTTGGGGTCCCTCTCACTAGTAGAGGACACAAGGAAAGTTATAAATCTATTTTTTAACTCTCAAAATTAAGTGAATATAAAATTTATTTTCTAAAACTAGTTTGATAATTAAAAGGGGGCATACTAATAAGTACAATGTGATAGAATGTGTGAACAGGGACTGTCAAGAGCAAAGCAGGTTGAATGGTCACCCTAGCTATGTAACTCATTTATTAAACAAACATTAACTGAACATTCTTTTGTGTGATATGTTGAAAGAACCACCAGCCACTTGATTTCCCTAGAAATTGAAGTAAGAGATACTAAACAGCAAAATTTAGAAACTGGATAGGAAGTGGAGCAGCTGTGACATGAACCATGGCCCATATGGGATGCTGGCACCTCAGGCATCATCTGCTATGTCACAATGCCAAACCCCTATGTGTGTTCAATTTCTATCCTAATAAAATTTACTTTTTGTCAGCACTAAGAATTCCTCTCTTTGTGAATGACAATGGCCTGGAATAAAAATATACCCCACAGCAGTACCACCACTTCAGATTTACAGAGGTCAACTGTTAACCTTGTGTGTTTCCTGAGGAAGGGCAAAAGGATCATACTATCAACTATCTCCTTGCTAGTTCCTAGGCTGGCAAACATCTTTTCCTTTTCTCTGTTTCTAGTAAGAAGTCGACCTCCTCAACCAATTCATATTGTCTGTCTAGCAAACACTTTGCCCTGCTTCCCCTCTGCCAGAACCTCATTCAGATCATGCACCCAGGATAAGCACACTGGTCAACACCTGAGGCTGCATAAACTGCTGGTGCCAGGAGCCACATCCTGCATGCATTAGCCAGAGCCCAGTCTGGAAGTCTCTCACCATCACCCACCCCAGGGTGTTGCACCCAACTCAAGTTTATTTAAGTCCACATGAGCATTAAGGGAAAGGCATGGGGCCAGGAGACCAGCCCTCCTTCTCAAGCCAATCACTAACCCCATCAACTGTAGAAAAGGCTGTCTCCATAGTGATGCTCTAACCTCAGAGCCAACCCATCAGACTTCTTCCACCTACCATAAAGTCTCCCTTAGTCTCAACAGGTGCTCAGAACACCTGGTGATGGTGGACTCAGTCATTCAGATGCAGAGGCAGAGCCAGCTCTGTCCATTCCCCACCACTCATTCAAGGCTTTCTCAGCTGTGGAAGCTGCAGTTAGCATCATGTGCCCAAACCCATGACTCATGTTTGCATCCTCTGGCCTTAATCAGTATGGCCAACTTCTGAACCTGCCACTAACCCCATTGACCAATGTGCTGCAGGGGGCAGTGCTTCTCCCTAAATGTTCTCTAAGTTCTCTCAAGTTCATGTCTCCCTATGACTGGCCTTATAGGTTTGTAGTTTTTTGGTTTCACCTCCTTACAAGGCAGAGGGAAACTTTTTTAGCTGTGAAAAAGAATTTCTTATGATTTTTTTAAGGAAGAGCTCATTAAATCTTTCCCTGACCCAAATCACCTACCTCCATTTTCTCACCTTTCAGTATACCCATGAGTATAGGATCATATGATTACATGCTCTGTTTAGATGACACCTCATATTTCTGTTTATTTAACAAGTATTTATCATCTGCTTTCTGATGTGGGCCCATAGGAGATCTGATCACAGGAGAGATTTAGGCTAAGGGGAAAATGCTTAGGTTTCTAAAGGATCTTCCCAAGGATTAGGAAACTTCAAGGTTAAAAGATTCTGGCCTCAATATTGGTGTGTTTCCACAGTGCCTCCAATCATCAGTGGAGAACCTTGTTACGACCAGAGATGTGTTTCTCCCTCTAGGTCAGGCCTCTCTGCAAAGTCACAGCCACTTGGTTATAAGCTGGTTAAATCACCACCTGCAATGCCAGCATCTCATATGAGAATAGGTTCATAACCTTGCTACCCACTTCTGATCCAGCTCTGTGTTAATGCACCTTGGAAGGCAGTGGAGGATGGCTCAAGTTCTCAGGCTCCTGCTGCCCATGAAGGAGACCTGGTTGGAGTTCCAGGCTCCAGGTTTCAGCCTAGGCCAGCTCTAGCAGTTGTGGTCTTCAGGGAGTGAACGAGAAGATATAAGATCCCTCTCTCTGAGACAAAGAGGGACACTATATAATGATTAAGGGATCAATACAACAAGAAGATATAACAATTATCAATTTATATGCACCTAACTACAGGGCACCGGTTTATCTAAAAGATTTGTTAAGGGACTTAAAGGGAGACTTAGACCCCAATACAATAGTACTGGGGGACTTCAATACTCCACTCCCAGAAATAGACAGATCAACAGGACAGAAGATCAACAAGGATACAGTAGATTTAAACGACACTATAGCCCAAATGGATCTAACAGATATATACAGAACTTTCAATCCTACAGCTAAAGATTTTACATTCTTCTCAGCAGTACATGGAACCTTCTCTAGGATTGACCACATACTAGGCCATAAAGCAAGTCTCAGCAAATTCAAAAGAATTAGAATCATACCATGCAGCTTCTCAGACCATAAAGGAATGAAGTTGGAAATTAGCAACTCAGGAATCCCTAGAGCATACGCAAACACATGGAGATTGAACAACATGCTCCTGAATGAACAATGGGTCATAGAAGAAATTAAATGAGAAATCAAAAACTTTCTGGAAGTAAATGAGGATAACAGCACAACATACCAAAACTTATGGGATACAGCAAAAAGCAGTGTTAAGAGGAAAGTTTATATCAATAGGTGCCTACATCAAGAAATTGGAAAGGCACCAAATAGATGAGCTTTCAATTCACCTCAAGGATCTAGAAAACCTACAGCAAATCAGACCCAAATTTAGTAGGAGAAGAGAAATAATTAAAATCAGAGAAGAAATCAACAGGATAGAATCAAAAAAAAATTACAAAAAATCAGCCAAACGAGGAGCTGGTTTTTTGAAAAATTAAACAAAATTGACACCCCATTGGCCCAACTAACTAAAAAAAGAAAAGACCCAAATCAATAAAATCAGAGATGAAAAAGGAAACGTAACAACAGACACCACAGAAATAAAAAGAATCATCAGAAATTACTACAAGGACTTGTCTGCCAGCAAACAGGGAAACCTATCAGAAGTGGATAGATTCCTGGACACATGCAACCTACCTAAATTGAACCAGGAAGACATCGAAAACCTAAACAGACCCATAACTGAGACAGAAATTGAAACAGTAATAAAGGCCCTCCCAACAAAGAAAAGCCCAGGACCAGATGGATTCACTGCTGAATTCTACCGGACATTTAAAGAAGAACTAACTCCAATTCTTCTCAAACTATTCAGAACAATCAAAGAAGAGGGAATCCTCCCAAATTCT